TGCTGCTGTTGCTGCTGCACCTCGGCCTGCTGCTGCTCCAGCTGTAGGTTCAGCTGGTCTCTCTGGCTCCTGGGCCCGGGACTGGGACAAGTCAGCCACCTCCCTGTTCTAGGGCGATGGGCCCTGCCTTTTCTCTCCAGCCCACAGGGGCCCTCACCAGCCCCAGACCTCAGCCTGTTTGACAGGTGAAGCCGCAAGGCCCCTCCAGAGAGGGGAAGTCGCTGGCCCGTGTTGTGCGGCCGTGAAGGGATGGGTTCCCACCTGCTCCCGCCGCTCGCCCTTCCGCAGGCTGCACCTCAGTGCCTGGTTGTCCTTCTGCAGCTGCAGGAGGCCCTGCTCCTGTTGGCTCAGCAGGAGGCGCAGCCGCTCGGCCTCCGCCGTGCCCTGCTGCTGCTCGCCGCAGTTCTCCGTCAGCATGAGGACGATCTGCAGTGTGGCAGGTTGGCCGGGGCCTGGGCTTGCCATCGACCCTCAGCCAGCCCCATTCCGCCAGCTCCGGACTCAGTGAGGGCTCGCCCTGCTGGACAGAGAGGCCAGCCAAGGCCCTGGGAACCCGGCGTCTCTCTAGCAGCAGCTGGGTCCCCAGAGTTGGGTCCCACGTCAACCAGTTATGGGGGCTTTAGACCAAATATAAACCAGAGATGTGGCCAGAGCCCCCACAGGGAGGGCCCCATTCCCTTGCTGCTGCCTCCCTCGTGATTCTTTTTTTTTTTTAACTAAAATGATGGTTTTTAATGGGAACCAGAGGTATGGTTACAATTACATAGTCTGACACAAAAAACCCATGGGTGATCAGGAGTTGGAAGGTTACAAAATAATGAGGGTAACACTGGGTATAGGAAGAAAAGCTGCTCCAGAACGTCAGGAGCCAGGCTAATAGGGCCTCTCCCTGCAATTCTGTCTGTGCTCACCCCTGGAGTCCATCTTGCCAGCCTCCCTCGTGATTCTGATCCACCCCTGCTGGACTGTATTTGCCTCAAGGGCAGGGCCACTAGGGTTCCCTCCTGCCTTCGGTGCCAAACACCCCGTGATGAGGGCCTAGAGGGCGCACCTTCTGGTGGCCTTTGCTGTGCCTGGCCATGACCTTCCGGGAGTTCTCGAGCAGCTCCAGCTGTTTGCACAAGTTGTCCTGGGTGTCCCTGAGCCGCTCATTCTCCTGCAGCAGCTGCATGCCTCGCCGTGATACCCTGGCCAGCTGTAGGGTCACCGTGTTGTTCTCCACGATGGCCCGCTTCGTCGTGTCCCACATCTGGTTCGTGGCCAGCTTGTGGAATTCGGAAGCCACCAAGTTCACACACTAGATGATCTCCTCCCTCAGTCCAATCCGGGTGGGTGGGAGTGGGGGGGTGGGGGGTGGGCACAGGCCTCAGGCACCCCCTGCCTATGTGGGGGTCTCCAGAGCACCGAGGGCCCTTTTATGCTCTATACCCCAAGGGCCGGGGGCACAGTCAGGAGGTTTTTACTGTAGATCCTTTGTACCTTTGGAATTTTGGACAACATCAATGTATTGTTGCCTAGTAAATAAATATAATTTAAGCCACAAAAAGTGGCAAAGGAAAAAAAAAAGACTTAACATGTGAGACAGCGTCCTTCAACTACCCGTTATTAAACGCAAGTTTTAACCTCCCATATAGAGGAAAAGGTATGTACTGAGCCTATGCAAATTAGTTTAACTTTCCTGAGTATCAATTGGTCCATAAATATAAATGAGTCTGTGTTTCTGTAAATAGAGGCTTAAAGGGACATTTCAAGTCCTAGTTTCAGGAGGATAAAAAAAAGTCAACTAGGGAATTAAAAAATTTTTAAAAACTACATTTATCTAATATTCCTTAGAAGGAACTATTATAAGCTAACTTTGGATAATACTTGGAAATTTTGGATACAGCTGGAATTGAATTCAATTTATTACTTAGTTAACTATGATAAACTGCCTGCACGGCTTGAACCAAGAGTCCAGGGACAGCATGTTCTTCCCAACAGGAACAAAACTAAACAAAAACAACTCTCCTGAATCTTTAAAATTATGTTCACTGTGATTTTAGTCTAGTTGGTTACTCCCCAGATGAGTTGTGGCTGGTAGATTTCCAGCCGTTCTAGAATTTTTCCTAATTCTGTTGGGTTTACTTCATGAAAGTACTGAGGAATAGGGTTGTTTTGTTTTGTTTTGGTTTGTTTGGGGTGGGGTTAAAGGTAAGCTTTGGAGCATCACAAACTGAGATTAAGATGATATGATTATATCTAAAGTTATTTTTGCTTCTACAATGTTGAGGGCCACATCACCCCAGAGAACACAGAACCTAAATGATCCTTGTATGGGTGTATTTCTGTAGGGCTCTTCCTTTGCTTAGACAGTATGTATTCACTATGCCAACTTCAGATTTGTAATGTGGACCAATTTAGAACACCAGGAGGCCTCTTCATCAACAAAACTGTCACTACAATGTTTAGCCAAGGACAGTCTAAATGTCCTGGCACTGCTCACGTGTGCTGAACTAGTGAACCGATTTCCAGCAAACATATGCTTTACCAGCACTTCGTCTAATTTACAGAGCTGTCCATCCACCTGTTCATCTAGCCATTCAGTATTTGAGTGCCTCTTATGTGTTAGGCACTGAGTATGCCCCGGTGAGGTAAAATCTCTACATTCTCAGAGTTTACAATCTAGTTCGACTTCTTTCCTCTCCCTTACCTCCTCAATACAGATTCCAAACATTATTGGTGGTAGAGTCACAATCTTAAGGCTGCAAAAATTCCGTTGGAAACACTGGGTCTACACATTTTCCTGATCACTTTTAGGTGACTGAGCCAAGAAGAATCCCATGAGTTTACTTATTGAGGAAATTTGCCATGGTAGAAGACAGAGTATCGGCTTTGGAATCTAGGTGGCTATAGTCTTTATCCTGACTTTCTTGTGAGGCCGTGGAGAATTATTTTGGCTCTGGGAGCTTTGTTTTACTCGTCTGTGAAAGAGATGATGATAACCGTCCTGCAGGGTGGTTGTGTGGCATAATGTCTGCAAGATAAAACACTTTCTACAGAACCTGGTTGGTGATCATAGAAAATAGATATACTTTTAAAAACATCTCCGTGTGAGATTTAAAGAGAAAAAGACTTAGGAAAAAACTTCTCCTACAGTTGTGTTAAGGACCACAGTGTGCTACAAAAAACACTAAGTCACGAGACAATTATTTTTAGTTTCCTATTCTATCAGAAAATTACATGACTTTCATTAGGTTACCTTCCCCCTGTGAATCTTTCCTCATTTGCAACTGCGAAAAGATTAGCTAAGGGTCCGGAGCGTATAAATCAGCTCCTACACAGGAAACTGTTGGCCTTATTCAGCTAATTGTAAAAACTACCTGGGCGTTCTAGTTTTACCCGAGCACTCATGGCTATTAACACACCACGAAACCAGCTTTTGAAAATGTCAGTAATGCTGTTTATTCATAACTGAAGTCAGACCTGCGAGGCTAAGAGCGCTGAGGTGATTTCATGAAATCAGAGTGGCCAACAGGTACAAATAAACTCTGGTTTCACCCTTTCTTTGGAGGTCAACTGGCAGGTAAACCGACTGAGCCCTCACCTTGTTCAGACCAGAAACACTCAACCCTGCCCAGATCCGCCCAGACGCTCGTCTTTGCACGCCCCGGGCAGCTACCCCTCCCTCCCTGAGAGCACCCCGCCGGCCTCGCCACCCGGGCCGCTGCCAGTGGAGGCGCGAGGGGCGGAGCTCAGAAACCCCGAGGACGTGACGCAGAGGCGGTTCACGGCTGCGGATTGGTGGGCGGGGAGGGAGGGGTGGAACCCGTCGCCGGAAATGGCGTGATCCGGAAGCGTCTTTCTGCCGAGAAACGGGGCTGAGGGTTTGGAAACGCAGACTTAAGGTTGAGTGTGACTGAGTTGATTCCAGTCTGGTTTCCAGTTCGCAACGGTTTCACTCCTCACGGTTTTTTTTTTCTTTTTCTTTCCCTGCGACTTGAGTGGCATTGTCTCGCGGTGGTTTCCGTGAGCGTCGCAAAGGAAGGACCTAGGACAGGGGTGGTGGAGGCGGGGAAGCCGCGCTGAACCGGCTGAGTGCACGGTCCTCGCTCGGCGTGAGCGGCGCGTGTTTCCTGGGCGTCGGGTGGTCCCGGCACGTTGTGGGTGGTTATTCCTTGTCCAGACGCTCACTTTAATTCGGAAAGAAAACCCACCGTTTTCCAGCACTTCTGAAGGAGGAGAAATAAGCAACAGGAAGATGTCTGTTTTCCCTAAAATATCTTTGAGGCTTGAGGTTGAAAACTATCTCAAAGCGGGCTTCATGAATAAGGAGGTAGGTCAGATATACACGTTATATGTGATTAGCAAAAATTCTAATATTTATACAATCTAGAGAAATAGAAAAAGTCTAAAAGGAAGTCTAATGTTTGCAATCTTTGTTTCTTACTTTCCGAATGTAAAATGAATAGTAATGTCTTTCTGCCGGTATTTAGTTAATGCCTTCCAAGGTAAGAGGTGAATGAGGTATCTGCTGTAACACTTAGGAATGGGAAAGAAGGGAGTGGGAAAAGCAGTTGTGTGCCTGGCAGTAGGCATGGCACTGAAGAGGTTACAAGGATGCACAAGAAAAGATCCCTGTCTTTGAGAATTTAAGCCCCGGAGAGAACAAACACTTGTAGTCTTACAGCACTTCACTTGAAACTAAGGTGAAAGAGATGATAGACTTTATTGAGTGCTGCGTAAATGCAGTTGTGCTAGGTGATGTGCAGACCTTTACTTTCTGATCTTAGCAGTCATTTTCTCGTGGGGATTTCCTCCCCCTTTTTGCAGGTGAGAGGACTGAGGGTCTAAAGAGCCATGTCACTGACTGAAATTGATACCCCTATCATGAGACAGTATTGATCTGAAGGTGCAGAGCTCAGGGACAATGAGCAAAGGAACACATTTGGAGTCCCAAGTCCCTGGTTTGCAGTCCAGTCCTTTGAGTCAATTACTTCACATCCCTTAACCTTGATTTCCTTTTCTGTGAAATTGGAGGACTGTTAGCTATATTTAACTTACAAGGTTGTTTTAAGGTATTGTAAGTGCGAGCACCTGGCATCGTTTTAGCTCATAATAAACCCTCAACAAATACTCATTCTGTGTGCTGCGAGCAGTGCCAAGCACAGAAGTCTTCGGTGAAAGTTGATTGTCTTTGATTGCCAAGCCTGTGCTCTTTCCACTTTACTGTCCTGCCTGTAAGCAACTCTGTATTTTCCAAATCTTTTGTTTTCTGTTCAAAGTAAAGCCCCTTAAACGTTGGCTAATTTTTAAAGATGTTGGTGAAGTCATGACTTAGATTCGATTTCTACATTTTATTTCCAAAGATTATGTTGAGGGACAAGAGAGTATGGAAAGAGAAACTATCTTCCTAATTTCAAAGAATTTACTATGTAAGGAGTGTATTAAGAGAAAAAGGCATTTGTCAGTTTTTCTCCCAGCGATTTTTAAAATGGTTAACATTGTTTTATAAAAGAAGATTCAAATGTCTTTCTTTGACATCACCTCTGCCTCAAACCCACTAACTATATGATTTTACAAAAAGAAAAACCATCCCTTTGTAAAAAGTATCAAAGGTAACAGAATACTTAGTTTAAACTTTGAGAAAATACTAATATTTTTAGGCTAGTGGATTATTAGGCTGGCAAGTGGTTTATGAAGCTTCTGTGAGGCAGGGTATAGTCAAAGATGACAAAAGATGGTGGGAAATGTATCTTGAAAAGTTTCAGTTAATGACGGGGAAACTTGGTCGTTTTGAGTCTTTCTCAATTCATTTCTGACAGATATCTTGCTACCTGCTTTTTTAGACAGTATCTGTTACATTTAATAATACCATATTAAAAAGCTGATTTCAGGGGGAGGGTATAGCTCAGTGGTAGAGTGCATGCCCATCATGCACGAGGTCCTGAGTTCAATTCCCAGTACCTCCATTAAAAAAAAAAGATGATGATGTCACAGGGCATCTTCGGGTGATGTTATCAATGTTACTTGTTCTTCAAATATTGGTGTTTTAAAAGGTTACTAACCAATTTGCTCTAGGATCTGAGATTAGAAAGCAACTAGTTCTACAGAAATAATGTAACAGTTAATTTCTTAATAAGTAGAATGAAATCTTGAATTTATATGAGTAAACGTAGCAGATATGTTAACTTTGAAGTTGAAGTTAATAGTGCTTTGAAGTTGAAGCAGTGTTTTTCTAAGCCCTTCATGTTGGGCATTTTATTAGGTGTTTATTAGCATAATCCTGTGAGGTATTATCATTCTCTTAGTGTTATTAACACATAAACAATGCAGAAAAATGAAATGGAAATGAACTATTGCTGAGTGATGTTTCATTACTTAAATGTATATGTGTATATTCTGCTTAATATCTTTAATTTGTATAATGAAATTGAAACATTAACTTGTTCTACTTTTCAGGTTGTATCTGCTTTAGGTAAACAAGAAGCAGAAAGGAAGTTTGAAGCTCTGTTATGTCGCTTGTCACACCCTCCATCATTCACAACTGTCAGAGTAAATACCCATCTAGCCTCAGTGCAACATGTGAAAAATCTGTTGTTTGATGAACTTCAAAAGGTTCATGCAAATTTTTTGTCATTATGTACATTATCAACATTTCTATAGCCTGTGTCATCTTGCTTCTCCCTAAAATCATGTGAACCATAATCTATTACAATTTTACAAATAAAAAATTGAGGATCGTGAATGTTAAGTTGTTCAAGGTTACAGAGTGGGTGCTAATGCTAGAACTTGAATTTAGTACTTCTGACTCTGAATTTATTTAGTGACTGAGTAGGCTGCTTAATCCCTCTGGGCCTCAGTTGCTTCATCGTTATAATACATGTTAAGAGATCCGTTCTAACTCTAAAACTCTGTGATCTTGTACTAAGCAGCAGATAATGATCAGGAGGGCAGATTGTATAGCTGAGGTGAGCCCAGAGGTAGGGAAGTACCTACTGATTAACTGCAGGATTATATTTTTAATTAATTTAACTTGAATACGATGATTTAATTAAATATAGTTTTAATAAAAGGAAATTAAACTGTAAAAAATATATTTTAAATAAAACAGCACAAGTTTTTTGTTGTTGTTGTTGTTGTTCAACCAATAAGATAGATTTGGCATGATAATCATTTCTGTGAACACAGTATTATAAAATGGCATTTTTTACATTCCAAGCAGAAAAATATTTGAATTTTCTTGTTTATATTCATTCTTTGCTTTCAAAAGCTGTGCATTTTGTGTTTCATACACTGGGCACTGAAATTTGCCCCCAAAGAAATGTAAGATGGAGGAAAACAGAAGCCTACAGAGGTTATTTCACAACTCATTTTGTAGTTATTAAATCTCTGATAACAAGTAAGAGACTGGGTAGCTGTCTGCAGACTTATTTCTACCTAATTGCCACCTAAGTGAAAAGCAAGAGGTAAGCATGATTTAAAGAGTACCATTTGCACCTCACAGGCAGTGTTACCAGTTTACAAATAACTTTGAGAAGTTTTCAGGAAATTATTACTGATACTGATTCTTTTTTTATCTTTAATCTCAGTCCGTTTATGGAATGTTTATCATACTCTCTTTAGGGACAGTTCTATAACTTCAAGTAGTGAGTAGATGACCATGTTATAAGAAGAACCAGCAGTGGTTTCTGGCTGCATGAGACCAGAACTTAGTGTAAATAAGACTCAGAGAAAGGTTAATCTGATTTTTAATAAGGGTGATCATTTTATTGAGAGTAATGACATTAGGCATAAAATTAGGCAGTTCCTCTAAGCAACTAAGATGATGACTTTTATATAGCCATGCATGTAAGTTTTCAGCGAGCTGAAAGAAACCTGTTCTGAGGCCCATCAGAGGTGTCCCTAACTCAGGCAGATCCAGATTGTCTTCTAGCAAGTTATTCCTAGAGTTTAGATAATCTAGTACCCCAGTGTGATGGGAATATAAGATCTCATGGGCTAGTATTTAAGATGAGGCAGACAGACTCCCTCTGGGCTTTGAGTCCCTTTCCTTAAAGGTTAAGATGAGACAGAGAAGGTTAGGTCATCAGCTCTAGATAAGAAACCGGTGGTAGAGTGGTGCCTATTTCTAGTAGGAAAGGGGAATTGGAGGAGGTTTTAGATGATAAATTTTCCTTCTTTTTCTATGTTCCAAAGGTCACATGTGTCCTAAAGTCATGTCTTGAATGGTATATGAGTGGGCACTTTGTCTCCAAATTTCTCTGGGTCAAATACTGAAATTTAATAATTAAAAATTCCATTTGGCTGGTGAGGAAGTGGAGAAACTGGAACTTTATGCATTGCAGGTGGGAATGTCAAATGGTTTGGCCTCTTTGCAAAACAGTCGCTTAAAAAGTTTAACATCCTGCACAACCCAGCAATTCCACTCCTAGGTATCTACCCAAGAGAAATGAAAACATACTTCTATGCAAATGCTTGAACGTGAACATTAATAGCAGCATTGTTTATAATAACCAAAAGCGAGAAACTACCCAAATGTCCATCAGTGGACAACTCTTCACACAGAGGAACATGACCTAGCAGTAAAGTGATGAGCTGATACATGCTACACCATAGATGAACTTCAAAAACATTGTTACTCTAAGTGAAAGAAGCCAGACACGAGACATGGTGTATTACATGATTCTGTTTATACGAAGTGTCTAGAAAAGGCATATTTAGAGAGAGAAAGTAAGTTAGTGGTTGCCTTGGGTTGGAGCTAGGAACAGAGATTGACTGCACTTGGGGATGGGGAGACTTTGCAGTGATGGAAATGATCTAAAACTGGCTTGTAGTGATGGTTGTGCAATTCTGTAAATTTATAAAAAATTGAGTTGTGCCTTTAAAATGGGTACATTTTCTGGTATGTAACTTAAATGTCATTAAGGCTGTTTTTAAAAGGTCACAGGGCAGAAACAGAAAAAGAGGCAGGTGATATGCTTGGTTTAAAAAAAAGTTTATTTGTGATGTTTTATGAAAGTTAAGCATGTGTGGTTTTATGAAAGTTTTATTTCTCTATTGTTTTAATATTTGATAGAAAAAGAGAGAAAGAAAACCTTGTCCTGAGAAGGATTGATCTCTTTGTAAAATATTTCTATTGTCTAAAGGAAAAGTGCTTTTAAAACAAAAGAAAAACAAATAACAAAATTGATTACCTTCTCCTTGGAAGGATCACTTTACGATAGCCTGGATACTATAAGGCTTCCAATGATGAGAGTGCGTGAGGGAGAGAGGGGAAGAGAAAGGGAGAGTGGTCTGATTGAATGCGGACTTTACCCTCCAGATTTCTTACTAGCTGTCTATTGGATATGGTTAGTCTGAAAGATCCTTGGCCTGGAAGAAGCAGAAGTCAGGAGAGCTGTTGACTTGGTAGAATGTAGTTAGGTTTCTAAAATAATGTTTTTTTTCCTCTTTCCTTATCAACTTAGAAATAAGTTGATTTTGGAAGTTTTCTCTAGCAGCACATGGATACTTCGAGCCAGTGCAGGTACACGTTATCATTACTGCTCTTTTGAGCAGTACGTGAAAATGACTGGGTTGATAATCTCTCGGTTATCCTGGGTGGCGGAGACTTGTTCTCAGATGTTTGCACATTGCTCTCTGCTAGCGTGTCCAGTACTTGCTGTCCAGTCCACTCCCCTGCTCTTGATTCTGCTGTGTGGGGTGCCCGGTTGTCTTCTGCCTGCAACTGTGGTGTGCTGTTACGTACTGAACAACCCACTTTCTGGGTAAAATAACCCTGATTTGTGGTGTTTGTTGATCTTCATGGTGTAAATTCTCCCACTGTGATCACTTTGAAGCTACCAGTGTAGCTGTGGAGTCAGTTGGCTCTCATTGGCCCCAGCACCTGTTCCCAGTCTGCAGGCCAAGTGTGGTCAAGGCTCCTGAAACTCCTGAACCTTTGCCAAAAAGAACTTCACCAAAACTGACAGGGCGTCCCGTGTGGTTAGTATGTAATAAATAGTATTTAATAATCTCAGTCTTTAATGTCTTATTCAGAAGCTTTTCTTAACAGAGTGTACTACATGCAGTTTTATATTGCATATGTTTTCAAAGCAAGTCACTTACGGTAAACAGGGTTTCTATTTACAAAGTCAAACTGAGCGAAATTGAGCCTTACGAAGAAGTTACTTCAGAATTATATTATAGAGAAAACACCGTTGTTTTGAAGTCTTTGATGCTTATAATGTCACATGGAATAAAGTGAAAATATTCTGAACCAAGCTTTATGCTCTGCTAAGTAATGAGATTCAGAAGCTCCATAATTTGAAATTTAGCAAATACGCTGATCCCTTTGTAATCCTGTGTGTTTGTTTTTTAACAGCAGTTTAATGGATTAAGTTTTCCTGTTCTTCAGCATCCAGAGCTGCAGGATGTCTTACTTATTCCTGTCATTGGACCTAGGTTTGTAACAACTGTTCTGTGTGCAAATTGTATTCTTTGAAATAAAAATTTGTCACAGGTTCTTTTTTTTTTTTTTTACTGTTTGGTGACAGTGCTAATTTTGTCCATTAATAGCAACTTTGTTTAGATAGGCATTCACAGATTTCATAAATGCTGACTTTATACTGTGTCATGAAAATATTACAAAAGAAGACTAGAAATGAGCTCAGATACCTTGAGAGTAATTTTAGTTTAATTTAATACAGTTATTGATTTTTTTCTACTTTCTAAGAAACTTTTGCTTTTTTTATTTGTATATTTTTTAGCTACAACAAAAATACAAAGCAACATATTTCCTACTTTTTAAAGCAGATATATTTGTAAAATTTTGTTAATTCACAATTGTTAAATTATGGTGCATGTTCTCTGAGTAGAAGGGGAACTGTCCTACTCAGATTCTGTATTTGGAAGGCATATGTTTTAAAATTGGAAAAAAAAAAAAAGACTTTCATATTATGATGAGAGTTCTGTTCCCAAAGAGCATTTTAAAGTCCCTAATTATGATGTAATTTTTTAATACCCCAAGAGTCGTAATAAGTATAAAAATGCTCATTTTGCTAAAGCTTTAAAGTAGTTTAGTGGTCAGCAGTCGAGCAGTGGTTCAGTACGTTTTCAGTGTGGCGAGTTACCCTCATCAGTTAATAGTGGCACTGCTCCTGGTTCCGAGTTCCCGAACACCAGCCGAGGACCGGCCTTGTAGCCAGGCCTTCCAAAGAAAGGACAGCAGTTCCAGCCCACTGTGTTCATCTCTTCTCCGTAGTCTTCCATTCTCTCCTTCCCATGAAATGGTTATTCTCACAAAAACTCTCTTGATTAGCACTGTAAAGTTCTCTTTCACAAAATGTTTTTTGAATTGGTGCTATATGTGAGACCCAAAGATGTTACAAAGATGGGTGAAATATAGTTGTCTAGTCCAAAAGCAGGGAATGTGGGTACAAGTCTGATGCAGTAAATGCCTCAGCAGAGGTGTGAGTGAAGGACCATCAGAGCAGAGCAGAGGAAGGACTGAGTGCAAAGAGATGGGTAAAGATTTCCTCCAAACAGATGTTATTTCCCTTGAGCCTTGAAGGAGAGTAAGCATTAGGTGCATGAGGAGATGAAGTAGGCACGAGGAAGCTGGGTGGAGACGAAGCACAGGCAGTGACACAGACACACACGTGGTGGTTCTTGACGAAAGTGATCAGGTTTGGCTGCTACATTGGTTTTCAGAGAGATTGATGAAAGAAGACTTTGAAGAAGTTAGGAGAGGCAGGCTGTGATCTGTATAGAGATTTTTGTTTTTTAAACTAAGGACTGTTTTGTGTTTTGTATAGAATATAGGAGACAAATAGTTCTTCTTAGAGTCATGATTTTAGAAATACACTATTGGTAGTAGTATAAAGCTGTGTTTTCCAGACTGTGTGCAGATCATGACCCATGAGTAGGTAGTAAAATCAATTTAATTGTTTATTTTTAATAGGCATTATTTTAAAAGAAAAGAGATATTTTATAATACATTGGATTGTACATAGGTATTTCATGAAATGTTTGCTATAAATGTAAGTGTGTGTATATATACACACACGGGTCCTGGGATGTGATTTATGCATATTTCCTACATTGCGTTACAGTCAAAAAAGTTTAACTGTGGTGAAGTAGATAATGTGGGGATGTCTGCTACATACGCCTAGGAATACAGAATAAAATACAGGTCGTAAAATGCACACTGAGTGATTAAGAACATAAGTGACATATTCAGGGGTTAGAGTGTAGAGTAACTGAAAATAGCAATAAGCTTGTGAAGTAAGATTTGCGAGTTGGGGCATTTGGAAGAGGAGGTGGTTGGTCCCCTAAACTTAGGGGCTTTGTTTTTGTTTTTTTTTTAACTTTTTTAAATTGATTTATAGTCATTTTACAATAGGAGCTTTGGTTTTAACAACAGGATATTAACACTAGGAGGTGAGAAATGCCCAGTAGTCAGTGCAAGGCTGTAATTAGGCACTGGATCTCTCTTGCCTTAGAGTCTGGATTGGAGGTAAAAAAATCTCTGAGAACTACGGTTCTATACCTGTAAGGGTTTGGAATTCAGATTCATACTAGCCAAGTGGTCTTGAAAGCTGCAGTTTGGGAAATTAACATAAAAATTGGATCCCAAGTCAGTTCCTTAGGTGCTTGGCTAAATGACTCAGAAGTGGCACCTGTCAGGCCAGGCCATGCACCCTTCTCAGTTGTTAAACCCTGCACTAGGAATCAAACCACCGTGAGTGAGAACCAGCATGTACGACAAACCAAAGGGATCAGAGTCCCCCCCAGAACTGCAGCAAATAGAGCTAACTGGTATTGAGTGTAAGATCAGTTTCTTTGAAATGATTAAAAACAAGGGTGAGAGTCTAAAATATAAAAAGACCCCAGGAAGAAAATAAAAACTGAAAGAGTTTCTAGAAGTTAAAATATTAAAATTTAAAACGCACTTAATGAGTTAAACTGTAGATTAGACCCAGCAGATGAGAGAATTAAAAAGTAGGAGATGACTCAGGAATTACCCAGAATGCGGTAGAGACAGGTAAAGCCGTTCAAAGTATGAAACCATATCATAGAAAAAGAATGAAAAGGCACTACATGTTTCTGATGAGCCTCAGATGGAGAGATTAGAAAGAAATGGGTGAGAGACAACATTAAAAAATATAATGACTAGTAATTTTCCAGGATTGGTGAAAGTTTTAAGAAGTACAGTAAGCCTGAGGCCAAAAGTCAAAATAAATTCACGTCTGGATACTTAAAAATGAAACTGAAGAACACCAAAGGCATCAGGAGGACCTGAAAGCGATCAGAGGTGAAAGGCAGGAAGGAATTTCAGTCGTCAGGTTTAAGAGATGATTCATGTCTGATGTCAGGGGACGGGCCCAGCAGATCTGTCAGAGGATTAGAGGTGGCATGACTGGTAACTCACTGAATGTTAAGTTAGGAGTTTCAGGAAGAAGAGATTTAAGATGATGCCAAACTCTCCAGTTTGGTTATTCAGGTAGATAATGACACTTGGTTCAAGACTGGAAACACAAGAGGATGAAAAGCTCTGGGGTGTAAACCAAGGATTTAAGGAGTGGGTCAGAGAAAAATGACATTATTTAGGACTTGTTGAGTTTGAAATAACTGTGAGACATCTATAAACAGCTACCTGCAGGTAATCAGAGTCTAGAAAGGCTAATTGTTAGAAAATGTGGATTGTTTTAGTAAGTGATTATTGAAATTGTGAGATTGCCAAGGTTTAGGATACAGAGTGAGAAGAGATGGTTGGCATGGTTTTGAACTTGGTTGGGGGTGGGGGGAAGTGAACCTCTTTAAGAAATAGCTAGAGAATGAGCAGTGAGAATGTGTGGGACCAGGAAGGAGTGGTGTAAAACTGAGAAGTTTAGTGAGATGTGATCGTTTGGAGATCATGGAGAGAAAGGACACTTAATTCTCCCAGCAAGGAGCTATGACAGCACATATGAAGTGTTCTCAAGATCTGTATTTGGGGCTGATCACTCGGGCACCCCCTGACCATTGAAAATGTCTGTCCTGAGTGTTAGAAGTGATGCGTGGGTTTTGGTGATCTAAGGAGTGGAGGGGAGGGGAGAAACTGGAGAACACTGAAAAATGTTAGACTGAAAAAAAAAAAAGGCGGGAAGGGTATAGCCCAGCGGTAGAGTGTGTGCTTAGCATGCGCAACGTCCTGGGTTCAATCCCCAGTACTTCCACTAAAAAATAAAATAAAATAAATAATTAATTAAAAATAAAGAAACCTAACTATCTACCCCCATCCTGAAAAAACAAAAATGTTGGACAGCAAAGGAAGAAAACAAGACTTATCTTTGTCTCTTTGTCTAGTTTAAAATATTAATAACTTCCCATGCAACAACCTGCCACTTTAGAAACGTTTGTGAGTTCCCTGTGTGTTGTGTGTTTTAGTGTGTGAAGACAGGGACTTCATTTCTCTTCTCTCCCAGTGCCGTTAGGAAGCACAGTGCTTGTTAAATGATGAAGCAGCGGTTTTTTGGCCGGGGCAGGGGTGGGTTGTGACTTCAGCTCGCATAAAGCTTCATTGGGTGATTGGAGTAGAAACACCTGATCGTGTCCTTTCTAACAAAAGGCGTCGGAGCTGATGACAGCAGACAGGCTGGGCCCCACAGGGCACCTTCAGCCACCTGTTCTGCCCTGTGTGTCATTTCCTGTCATCTCCATCCTGCCTCTTTTTTTTTTATTGCAGTATAGTTGCTGCCACCATATTATATAAGTTACAGGTGTACAATATAGTGATTCAGTTTTAGAGGTTCTCCATTTATAGTTACTATAAAACACTGGCCCCGTTCCCTGTGTTTGCAGCATATCCTTGTGGCTTACTGTATACATAACAGTTTGTACCTCCTGACTCCCCTCTCCCTCCCCTCCCCCCACTGGTAACCGCTAATTTGTCTTCTGTATCTGAGAGTCGCTGCTGCCTTGTTATATTCACTAGTTTGTTGTATTTGATGAAGCAGTTTCTGGTGCCACATACCACCTTGCACCAGCATCCTCTTGCTATTGTTTCTTCCTCAAATGCCCATCATCTTCATCTTCTTCTCATTTTTTTGAAAAGTATTTCCTCTATGTTTATCTTCCTTTTTTCAGCTTTGTCTCCTTTATGGATAAGTGGCAGTCAGGACTAGAGAGGTTATTTATGTAGGCTTCAGACTGAAACACCGCACAGGCTGGTGGGCGCTGGACGTGTATCACCGTGTTCAATTTCTCTCGTCTTGCGTCCCCAGGAAGAACATAAAACAGCGACACTGCGAGGTTGTCGTCGGAGCCCAGTGTGGCAGCGCAGTGTTACGAGGAGCCCACGTCTATGTTCCAGGAATCGTGTCCGCCTCCAAATGTGAGCACAGTCTTTAGACTTCTCTGTAAAACATTCGCTAAAATGTGTATGTATCCTCAAATGAGAAATGTATTAAATTATCACTCAGATACCTTTCAAATTTGCTTTAAAAAAGTTATATTCCAAGCTTTGCATTTTAGTATAGCCAGTTAAAGGATGTGTCTGGTATGGACTGACAGATTAGGCATCCGTGTGAGGTTTTCTGCCAGTTTTTCCATTCTAGATAAGGACGTGTGTAATGATGTTTGTTTAAAGGATCATGACTGCTTAATAGGGTGTAAGATGTCAGGGAAATTTTGTTTTGTATTCTTTACTCTGTTGCTTTAAAACCCCAGGCTGCTACCCTATCATTTGTGAGGGGAACATTCAGCACCTGGAATCTTAATTTTGTGGTGAAACTCAATATTCTTAACTTACTCTTTTAGGGAGTGTTAGGTTTGGGGAAAATAAATAGAAGATATTCTTCCTCTCTGCTCAGCTTAAGACTTCCAATTGAGGTAGGATGTTTTGAAGACTATTCTATATCTTTGTTTTCTTAGGAAAAAAAATTTCAATTAGATTTGTTGTTAGGGAACATTTAAAAATAAAGAGCTACTACATTCTCTCTTAGGGGTTATATTGAGACAATGAGCGTGTTTAGTCTGCTTTACGCCTCTAGACGTCCCCGGTCTTAAAATTTAAAGCTTAAAGAATTTTCACTGTATAGATAGATCAGCATGATTTGATTTTCTTCTTCCTCTAGTTATGAAAGCTGGAGATGTTGTTTCCATATACTCTGATATTAAAGGCAAATGTAAGAAAGGAGCCAAAGAATTTGATGGAACAAAAATATTTCTTGGAAATGGGATTTCTGAACTAAGCCGCAGAGAAATCTTCAGTGGGCTACCTGAACTGAAGTATGTCATCAAATGTTGTTTGGGGCAAATAAGCATCCTTTTTGTGGGTCAAAGAACATTAAAAACAATGTAAAAAATACATGTTTGCATTATATGAATTTTTTTTGGTGTAGATTCAACTGAAAAATAATTGTTTAACCTATCTTGCCATTTTTTTTGGAAAAAAATGCTTTTGGGTTAAAGTAAATGCTCAGATTAAAGAGCCTAAGTAAGAAACTAGGTGCACTGTAATTGTCAAATAATTTTACTTCTCCATTTGCAGTTAACTTTGGAAAACATTACTTCTCTTGATAAAGGATGAATTAGATGACCTTTCACGATCTTTTCTTAACAGTCTGTGTGACAGGGAAAGCTTATGATTTTAATTTAAGAACTTAAAAAAAATTGTAACTAAAAATTTTACCAGAAAGCCTGCACTCACATGAATCCTTGTGGTCAAAAATTAACATTTGGATTTACTCAAACCAAATTAAGATACAAGTCAGTTTAAAACCATCTCTGGTTGCTACGGGCTCTGAATAAATTAAACCTGTGGGCAGTCCAGTTTCTTATTTTGCTTAGTCTTTTCAGCCTGTTTCAGGAATTCTGTGGACAGTTCCATTATTCCAAAGTTGACAGCTGACGGAGACGTGCTGAAAGCTGTGAATTGATGCAGCTAGGACTGGCCACGTCCCCGAGTCCTGGGACAGTATTTCGTATTTCAGCACTTTGGATGTATGGTTGAAATGAATTCTTCTGGAGAAACAGGCTTTTCCCTACCTCTAGAGATCACAGACTTTCCAAGTGTCCGGAACAAAAATCCTCTCCTTAGAAGGCTTTGTGAAATTGAAGATGGTGCATACATCTGCTGTGCCGATCTCTGGGTCTGTAGTGGGGGGCTGACGTTTTGACTGCTTCCTCTGGTTGGTGTTAGTGGTACACGCTTCATCCTCCCGTTTGATGTAGTTCCGGTAGCTGTGTCGGCCGACTTCTGAGTAATGTTTCCTCTGTTGGTGGGAGTAGGAGGTAGCCTTTCAAGAAACTGCTGATTTTTAAACTCAGCATTGGGTTAGGCTGTTATGGTTTCTTTCTCTGCGCCTCTGAGAAATAGCTTGCTTCCACAATAAATAAATGCTACATGTATGCACTGTTTCTTAATTATGTTCTTTTAAAATTTTAGAACCAATTCTACAAAAAGTACATTTGTGCCCTTTGGTTTCTTGGATTCTAGACAGCTGAATCATTCATAGACTCAGATAGATGAATTTACTAAGGTTGAGGTCTTGTATTTTGCATTATTATATGGAGATGCATGCTATACAGAAATAATTTTAAAAGAAAATAACTGGCTTAAATTATGCTTTGTATAGATGGACACGCTTGTGCTGGTAGGGGTGATCAGAAGGAGAGAGTCAAAGGGGCACCAGAACTTGAAGTGCTGGGTGGGAAGCATGTGAGGAAGGCAGGTGCATGAATGTGAGTTTCTGTATTTCTCAGAGGAGTGGGTCCTGCAAGTCAGAAGGTCATTTAAATTACCAGGGAGTGATCGGGTCATGGAATTCAAGGCACTCAGTAATGGGTCTAGACTCTGGGTGCCGGGGCAAGGTGTTGATCAAGGTCAGTGCCCCAGGTGTCTCAACAAAGTACTGACTTTTGAATGTGAGGCTGTGACATTTCAGAAGCTTCTTTTGTGTATTTTCTGCTCAGAGGCCGGAGCTGTTTAGGAATTGGTTTGATTTAATCCCGATTGAAGCAAGGACAAGAGTCTTAACTGATTAAAAGTGCAGATTTGGAAATACCAAGTGATAAATGAGTGAGTGAGGGTGAAAGGCACGGGGAAAAGAAAAGGAGTTAGCACATACGGTCAGCCTCCCTCAGAGACAGCCCACAAAGGCTACAGAAATTATTTCACTTTCAAGGGCAGCATAAATTTATTGTGGCATAATAAGAACTACATAAGTGATATGGTCTTTGTCCTGGGTTCCTGGCACACAACGCCTAAAACTCTTAGAATCTCAGGAGCAATAAGAGTGCTTTTATATCCCCCAGATTGCTTCAGGCTGGGGGCTGTTTGCTAGAGCAACCAACCATGTGATGAGAAGGTTGGAACTTTCAGCCCCACCCCCAGCCCTCTGGGGAAGAGGGAGGCTGGAGATTGAGCCAGTCACTACTCGCTGATGATTTAATCATCCGCTAAGTCATGAAACCTCTTTAAAAAAAACACTAAACATTGGGGCTTGGAGAGCATGCAGGTTGGTGAGTACATCTGGGAGCTGGGAGAGTGATGGTGCCTCAGGATGGGACATAGAAACTCCATGCCCCTCCCCTGCCTCGCCCTGTACATCTCTTCTGTTTGGCTGTCCCCCAGTTGAACTGTTTTCATATAAACTGGTAACCATAAGTAAAGTGTGTTCCTGAGTTCTGTGACTCATTCTAGTGAGTTACCAAATCTGAGGAAGGAGTTGTGGGAACCTCCAGGTTTACAGCCAGTCACTCCAAGGACAGATGGCGACCTGGGATGTGCAGTGGCATCTGGGATGGGGCCGGTCTTACTGGGCTGCATCTTTGCTGTCTGACAGTGACCCCAAGCCATTCATGTCAGAATTGAATTGAATTGAATTGTAGGACACCCAGTTGGTGTCCAGAGGGTTGGAGAATTGGTTGGTATGAGAGAGAGCCCCACACGTTTGGTATCAGAAGTGTGAGTAAAAATTAGCCCAGCTGCCTACATCAAGTAGGGTACAGACCCCCCCATGTAGGGGCTTCTCTGCCGAGGTCTGTTCGTCAGCCGTGACCTTGCCCACCATGCTGTGTCTGTGGACTCTGTTCTTGCTCTCCCTACTTGGGCTCTCTTCTTTGGTTGTACTCCTGTAACTCATTTAAATCCTGATTATGTATCCTCATCTTTATGATCAGACTGCGCATTTTTCTGTGCCTCTCGACTTCCCAGAACCCCACGTTAATTTTTCTTTGTTTTTGCTCCCTCTGTGTGGCCCTGTGCACCTGGCTACCATGGCTTTCTCTAACAGTACACCTGTGTACTCTCTCTCTCCCTGGGGAGAGCCTCTGACAGCCTCTCCAGATTGCAGTGTTTGTCCTAGTGGATCATTGTCCGCCAGGCTGTTCTGGGTCCTAGCCTTTCCTGCTGATCAGTTTCACTGCCACTCAATAAATGGGACAGAGGTGGCAGACATCATCTCAAGGACTGTGTCAGCACTGAGCAGTTACTGTCTAGAGAGATGAGAGGAAAGCAGTGTCTGTCATGGCCTGATATTGGCATGATTATTACATACATTTTAATTTTTCACACAAATACCTAGCCTAGTGCCTTACAAACTGAAGCCTTCACAAAATGTTAACTGAATTGAAAGGCTAATGACAATGATCATAAATCTATTACCGGAAAGATTAGAATGCATCTATAAATAAAGACTCAGAAGTCCTTTGCTTTTTAGTCTGCTCAAATCTCTAAAGAAATGCAGAGGTGCCTAAGTGAAAAATTTATGTAACTTAATCCTAGTGTTCCCAGTGGCCTACTTTACCGTGGGTAAAAATTCAGAAAGAGTTCACAGGAATACTCTATTTTGGTGTTGAGTTAAAAAGGTTTTTAAAAGGTGGAACACCTTATATTTGACAAACTGCTTGAGTGTGTTCCTAGAAATGGAGTTTGTACAGACTGTGTAACTGACATGGAGTAACGTTAGATTTCCTGTTTTTCAGGGGGAATAGGCGTGAGAATGACGGAACCAGTGTATCTCAGCCCTTCATTCGACAATGTACTGCCCAGCTACTTATTTTTACAGGTAAGTATTTGTCAAAGCGAAATATTTAGTGACACCGAAACATACTTGTGGAACTATTTGAAATCTAAGGGTTGGTTTTTTCCATTTCTATTAACATAGTTTTCTCTCATGTATTTTATATTTTCTGAGCTATGCTTGCTTAAATAGTAGCAAAAAGCTTAGTAATCACTCTTTTTCTTTTTCTCAAACGATTTTTAACTACCTTTTCTCCCTTCCTTTGCCCAGCGGTGCTTTAATCACTTATTATAATTACTGCTTTTTCCACCTCAGAATATTAATTCCTAAATAATGCATGTGTTTGCTGTACATGTAAGTGTTCCATGTCTAACTTTGAGTTGAGATACAAGTGGTTTGCTGCTGACAGATTTTGGTCAGATAGTTAGGACCAGACTGTGATGTGACGGGTCCTTTGTTCTGCCTTGTCCAGCCGGTGTGTATTCTTAGGGACACTGGCTCGTATGATTCACTACAGTCTGCTGGTTAGGTGGCATTATTACTGTTACTAGTCTTATTATTATTCCCATGTAAAATGAAGATACTGAAGACCAGATCTGGTAGATCTTTCTTGAACAAAGTCATGCAGTTGGTAATTAATAGCATCTGAACTCTAACCTAAGTGTGGGTGACATTTGCTTTCTGATCTGCTTCATGTGTAACCAGAAGTCACTTTATAAATCCAAAGATGAGTTCTGGTGTGAACAGATAGAAAAACATTACTTTTATCATCTAATTCCACATTAGTGATGATGTAAAACATTAGGATACATAACCTAATACATAATTATACATGATTATATAGATTCTTCTTCAGTGGTCTGTGCCACCCCCCATTTTTTTTCAAAGTTTGGTGTGCTGGAGTCTTTGAGTATGTTATCTCAAGCCTCCACTGGCTTAGAACTTAAGAACACTGATACCATTTCTTGAGTGATGTTCAGTAGCCAATGAACTTGTGAAGATGAGGTCGTTCCTAGGGTGACTGGCTATAACCCTGTGAGCCGAGTTAGGCAGCTGTTAGCCTTTGACCATTCTATGTGGTCACTGCAGGTACTTCACAGATACATACAATTTTACACCTTGTATGGGGAAAATCCCTGAAATTTGTTTGTTTTTTTTTCCTGCTGCCTCTTGCCTTGCCTTTCTCTGGAAACCATTATCCCTAAATCAGTACTTTTCGTTGTTTCCAGCAGCTAATGAAAAAGCTTCACTTTGTGTGGGAGTGAGGGGTGTAAAGGGCTAGTGCTAATTCTTTCTGTCTTTGGCACTTGAAGTTACACAAGAATACACGTTATAAAGTTAATGGGAATGTTGCACACAATCATGAAAATTGTAACTGTGCAATATTATTTGGTTTTTCAAAATCAGAAAGGAAACTTTTTAATTGCTGAAACACAATCCACAGAATTACAAAAATATCCTTAGATGCCTTTCACTTGAAATAACTGACAGTTAAAGGTTTAACACTTAAATGATGCTTTCAGTTATATTCTAGATTACCTGAAATCAAAAATGATGCTTGAAACTTAATCTTCTCATTGCCTGGTTTCTGTAAATAATTGATTTTAGAGCCAGATGAGGATGGATGATCTGAGGGCTTTAAGTAAATCCTGCTGCCTGGACCCCTACCACCTGAATGGGCTGGGGTGGGCCCTGGGTCAGGATAGTGAAAAGCTTTCCCAGGTGATTTGAATTTGCAGCCAAGGTTGTGAATCACTGTAGCATTGCAGTGGTGCACATCTGGCTGGACTGTCAGAAGCATCTGGGGGTTCTGAAAAGCACTGTTGCCTAGGCCCTATTGCCAGAAATTCTGCTTTAACTGTTCTAGATGAAAAACCGCATGTTAGAAAAGCAAAACGAACAAAAACTCACCAGGTGATTCTGTCATGTAGCCTGGATTGAGAAATACTGTAGAGAAAGGTAGTAGACTAAACTGTACTAGGAGAACTTTGTCATCATTTAAATATTTAAGGAAGCCTTTCCACTTGGGCTATTACATGATTTCAACTTATTGCATAATCACCAGGTTCTCAGTGTCTTACATTTGATTGGAAATTTGTCCTCTTTGGCCACTGCATTAATGTTATCTCTATTAGGAGTGTGGGATGGCCATTGACTCTAGGTAAAGAATCACTGAATCTCCAGTAGCCACATATGTGTTTTAGTGTTTTTATATTGGAGTTCAATTTTTAAATATTTTTGGAATAAATTAGACTGTTGAGAAAAAGTACCTGTAACAGGCTGGGCTTTTTTTCATGCACAGTGTGGAGGGCCTGCTCCTCAGGTGCTGGAATCACTTGCTCTGACTTTAATGCTTCATTGATGCGCAGGGAGGGGAGAACTTGCTCACTGGTATCTCCGTTCTCACCGTTGATGTTCTGTTCTGAGGTGGTGAGCTTGGGTTCACTTGAAATCCCTGTAACCTCCTCCCAGTTCTTGAGTCCATGCTAATAATGGACATAAAGTGTTCTGGTGTGAGAGTGCATTGAAACTTTTAAACTTAAAAAATAAATAATCCTATGCTTGTGAGCCTTTTTTTTCTTGCCAAGTAATTAAAAAAATGAATTACTTTGTGGTGGTATTCTGTCTTACTTAAGGCTGACTGCCATCCTATAGTAGCAGTTCTTATACAATTAATACTAATAATGAATTAATGAGTTAATACAACTTACTGCTATAGATGGATTGTATAATCCTAGAATATATTTCTAGGTGCCAATCAGAAATAGCTAAATTTTTTTCCACATTCTGCTTTTCTCCTACTAGAGTGTGGAAGTGATAGGAGCTAGGAACCCAAATGCACTTTTAGTGGCATTAACAGCCCCAAATGAGGATTTTTAAAGGGGAATTAGATGGTGAAGCACCTGCAATTACAAAATTTTTTAGATTTTCTCGGAGAAAGATTGAAAGTTTTCTCATATTTCTGAAGTCTCTGACCTCCTAAATATTGAGAACCACTGAAATAAGACAGGACAATATGCTTTTTTTTTTCCTGCCAAATTGATTGGGGAAATGTGTCATGCATGTGTGAATGTCCCATGGGATCACAGGTTGCCCTAGGAAATTGTGAATTTCCTGACACTAGTATATTTAGAAAAAACACTCTTGGCAGAGGGTGCTGTACTGGATTACCTACTAAAGGTTTCTTTATGTTCTCTGATTCTGAAATTTAAAATGATGTGTTGTTGATAATTGATTGTGATAATTGATTGCTGTTTTCCCCCCGCTGTAGAATTTGCCATCTGCTGTGGTAGCTCATGTTCTGGATCCTCAGCCTGGAGAGCGGATTCTGGATTTGTGTGCGGCCCCTGGAGGCAAAACGACACACATTGCTGCCCTGATGCAGGATCAGGTGAGACCGCCCTTACCTTCAATCTCTCCGCTTGTACTGGGTGCAAGATTTGTTGTGTTTCATTTTGTTTTTGTACAAAGGCGTCTGTTTAAACAAGCACTCCTGGAAGAAGTGCTTGTCTGAGTGGCCTGCGGTGTGCTGGGAAGAGGGATGTGCTTTCAGTGGAGGTGCCAGAATTGCTTCCTTTTGGTGCTGTTATTGACCAGTTAAGGATAAATCCATTTTTAGACCAGAATTATGTGCTCTGAATGCTTGTTTCTCTACGTTCTATTAGAAGTTACTCCATTCCACCTCAGCCTAATCAAGTGATCAGATTTGCAGTGTCAATGGCTTAATTTATAATACCCTTCTTGTTAGAGTTGGGTGTAAAATATACTCAGAGTGAACACTGAATCAGATGTTTGAGAAGCTCCATCATTCTGTAGGACTAGACTAAGTGAGGAGGAAAGTAGGAGGGAAAGAGATCAGAGTAGTGGGGATGGGGGCAGGATGTTCACGTGGAGCTGTTTTGCAGGGCCCGATAGGACTTCGCCTTTACTCCAGTGATGGGAAGTCACTGCGTGTTTTGGGCAGACGAGTGATGTAAGCCGCCTCCCTACTTGCCTTGCCTGCAGCTTTGAAAACAGGCTGTCAGAGGGCAAGGGCAGGAGCAGAGACACTTAGACGGTAATTCAGGGGAGAGTCGTGGAGGTGGTAAGAAGTTGGTCAGATTCTGGATGTGTTCTTAAGTTGGAGCTGTTAGGACTTGTTGATAGATTGGATGTGGGTTGTGAAAATGAGAGAATTATTGGGTTTTTGGCCAGAGGAACTGGAAAGATGGACTTGCTGGATAGGGATGAACTATTGGGAAGAGCAAGTTTTACAGGGAATAATCAGAAATTGAGTTGTAGATATAGTAACGTGAAGTCCTGTTAGACTTCCAAGAGATGACTGTGAGAGGCAATTGGGTATTTGAGTCTGGCATACAGGAGGGAGGTCTGGGTTGGAAATGGCAGTTTGGAAGTTACCAACTTGTAGAGAATACATAAAGCCCTAAGGCTGATGGGGGCGGCAGCAGAAGGTAGTAGGGGCCAGAAGACTGAGCCTCAGGGGTGCTGTGTGCCAGCACTCAGGGGCTGGGACAGAGAAGGGCCGGCCGGGGGCGTTGGAGGAAACCAGAGCAGCCTGAGAGCCGGGGAGCCCCGTGAGGAAAGGGCTTGAGGAAGTCGGGGAGAGCAGCGGGGGGACGTGTGGCTGCCGGGCCGTGCGAGGGGAGGACTGAGAGCTCCCCGTGGACTCAGCACCTGGTGGGTGGTGGGGGACCCTGTCGTGAGCAGTTGCAGGGTGTGGACACGCTTGCTTGGATGGAAGATGAGGGGAATCAGAGGAAGCGAATTGGAACAGCTCCTTTGCAGGGTCAGGAGACGTTTGTACCAGAGAGCAGAGAAATGGGTCCTCAGTGGGAGGGTGAACTCATCTTTTGTTAAGATGAGTGAAATAACAGTGTATGCTAATAGAAAAGATAGATTAAAAGGGGTAATTGGTAACACCAGATGGAACGGGAAAATTGCTGGAACAGTATCTTTGAGTAGGTGAAGTGGGACAGGAGTTGATGCTCAAGTGGCTCAGGTGGTAGCAAGAGACAGTTTATCCATGGAAACAGGCGGGGAGGCCGAGGACCTGGGTACAAGTGTTGGGCTGGTAGCTGTGTAAAAGACTGGGAGTCCTCTGGTTGTCCTCACTTCCTCTGAAACAGGAAGCAAGGTCATCAGGTGAGAACAGGGATGAGGAGGAGGCGGTAAGAGTTTGGAGAAGGTATGAAGTATTCATCTAGGATCATGGGAGTGAGAACGGGCTATGGGTATGTCTTAATTCTGTTTTGCAAGGAGGGCCCCATGAACACAGTGGTCATGAATTTATTCTTTATTTTTTAAATTTATTTTTATTTTTTTATGTTTTTAATTGAAGTACCGTCAGTTACAATGTGTCAGTTCCTGGTGTACAGCACAGTGTCCCAGGCACAGTGGTCATGGATTTAAAGTCAGGTTAGTTGGCATAGTGACGCGCCTTTTGGCTGCATGGGATAGACATGGAGTAGGCAAAGAATGAGGTTTAACCACAGCTGCGTTTCTGTGTGCGGGTGTGGGAAACAAGCGTGCACGTTGAGGATGTGCATTAAGGGAGTGCGTATAACGTGCTGTGGCCTCTAAGCCGGGTGAGGAGACCAGCAAGGACGTGAGAACAGTGCGGGCTGTGGATCTACTGTCACTTCTTTAAATTAGCTCAGGTTTATACAGCAGTGAAAATTCCTGTGGGCCAAGGAAACTCAGCAGTTGTCTTCAAGCACTAATTTCTAAGTAAGGAAAAATTTGCATACTTGAGGTAGGACTTTCTGGCTTGGAAATACACTTCCATGAGGCTAATTTAGCAAAAGCCCTTCTCTAGCTAATTTACTTGATAGAAGATACACTATTTCCTACTCTTAAAAGTGCCAGATTTTGGACTTGATCAGGGGATACATTTTTGATCGATGTTTGATGATTCTTAGGTATTTACCATCCAGGGGTTTACAAGCAGTCTTGTACAGAAGGCGGTAGGAACTCTTACTGTGTCAAGGATGGGATTGTAGCTTTTCCCCTTCATGAGTGCAGATCATTTTAATTATCCAAAGACTTCTGATGAAAATTGTCATTACTTACACATTAGTGTTTAGCTATTAGAATTTCTGAAACATTCACAATGTCACAAACGATAAGAATGCATAAGTCTAAAAATTTATATTTTCAGTAAATACGTTGAAGGTCTAAGCCTACCATCTCTGCACAATGTGTGTGTAAATACATGTATAGAATACACACACCATCTATATGAAGTACTATATATGTGTACTCTATGTGTGTGTACACACTGTGTGCTGCATACACACACACACACACACACTTGCAGTAGCACTAGTATGACCTTATAGGTGGCCTTAGATTTAAGAAAGAAAAAGATATTTTTTGTTTAAATTTTGTGGAATTGATACTCAGGGTTCATTAGAGGAGACACACTTGCCTGTTAACTTATATGACTCTTCTTTGTCCAAAAAGAGTTTAAGGTGATAATAGTAGAAACTCTTTAAGGATAAATGCATTTAACACCACCAGTGTGTAAAGTGAAAAATACAAAATAAAAGGGTTCATTTTATGAAGTTGTGGTGTTTAATGCAAACCATTTTTCAGTTTTCCTGGAAGTTAAAATGTGAAGATTATATGCTTTGAGGAAGGGATAATTATCTGCCTTAATTTATGGTGTGGTATTGATTGTGTTTGCTTAAAAGTGTTTGTTCATAGGCATTTTATTCTCTCTACCAAGAGAAAAAGTCTTTCCCAAGGGAGGCTGGATGTTGTAGGTGTGTGCATTTTCTGCTGGTTTTACGGTGCTGTGTTAAAACCGCCACAAAGCCTTGGTGGCGTACAGCTAACCTGGTCAGCTCCGGGGTCTGTCGGTTTAGCGGTTCCCCGCTGGTCTTGCTCTAGGACCCGGTCACCTGTGGGTTAGCTGGAGGTTCTGATGATCTTGAGTGGCTCATTTGCTTGGGTTTGGCTGATGCTGGCTTACTTAATGGCTTCAGTGGAGGCCACTGGTGGGCCCTGCCTCTGGTCTGTGTGTCCCCTATCCTTCTGCGAGGACCGGAGCATGTGCCCAGCAGCAGGCAATAGCTGAGGGTTGCTGGTGGCAGGGGACAAAGCAGAGGCAGCCCGGCTGTTGAGGCGCTGCTCGCTGTCACCCCCCTGGCCAATGCAAATCACATGGCCGAGCCCGACTCGGAACAACCAGGTGTCACGGGGTGAGTGGTACACACGGTTGGGTGCAGAATTGGAGCCATTTAGGCAGTCTCCCTGTGGGCCAGCGACACAGACCCTGAGCCAGAACTGAATCCCAGATTTTGTTACTGCTTTGGTTTGTTTTTTTATATTAAGCAAATTTTGTATCAGTGTAGCCTCCAGTCTTGAACTTTTGTAAAAGCAGCCTTCAGCCAGGGCAGTTTCCACTTCACTGTGGTACATTTGAACCTTATTCTGGTGGTTTTTTGCCTGCTTTTCCAGTTCAGCTCACTTGAAACAGTTTTCCTGTTTGTCAAGGTATTCATTGGATCTATGACGACGGCTAAGCCTGGTGCCACATTTAGGACCGTAATCAGCACATTTTCAGTACTGTAGTCTATGCAGTCCATGCATGTATCATACAAGGAGGAACAAAAGAAACAAAAATACATTGAAGGCTTTATGTGTCACCGTTTCCCTGGTACTGTTTCACAGTACGCTTTGAAATATCATATGAATGTCACAACTCATTCATGAAAGGGAAGCCTCTTGTCTATTGATTTTGACGTAACCAGAGTGTTACCATATAGAATTATTTTTGAACTACTTTTTATCCCAGTCCAGAACATTTTGCTGTGATAATACAGGCTTACGCTTTTCTGTCTTTGGTTGTCAGAATTCACATGAATTTTGTTACGTGATTATAGCTCAGAAGATATTGGGTTGAAGATTGATTTTACAGGTGACATTCATCTGTAGCTCAAAGGACTAGAAGGCAAATGTCTTAGAACATTAGTTCCTGCTCTTTCAGAGGTGAGCAAGGCACACCACGTTGGTGATTTTTAATATTTATCACAAATGGACATTTTTAAGTTTCTGTAGAAGATTGCAAATGCTACTCTTGGTTTTGGGTTTTATTGATTAAAAGTAGATGAGCATTGTAAGAAACTTAATTATCTGACAAGATTGTGTTCTTTAAAAGGAAGGAATAATAAGTATTGGATGTAAATTTGATACACATTTTGATGATGAATTTAGCTGTAAAACTGGTGGTAGGAGGAAAGTGGGGAAGACTGTAATTGTTCATCAGTTTTTCTCCTTATTAATAATTTTCATGATTGCTTTGGATTTACACTTCTTTATGTTCTTGTTTTATTTTATTTTATTTTTTTTTAGGGAGAAGTGATTGCGCTGGATAAAATATCCAACAAAGTAGAAAAAATAAAGCAGAATGCGTTACTGTTGGGGCTGAATTCCATCAGGGCATTTTGCTTTGATGGAACAAAGGCCCTTAAACTTGATGTGGTCAAGGACACAGAAGGTGAGTTAAATTTTATCTTAGGCTTCTATAGTTGGGATTTATAAACAGTCAGATTTTGCTACCTTAAGTCTTTTTTTTAAATTTAATTTTTTATTGAAGTGTAGCTGGGATTAACACTTTAATTGAATTGAGGGATAGACCATGCCCACTTCACACTGATACTTAAGGGAAGAAGCTGGAAACTGCAGCTGTGAAGGCAAAGGGCTGTTCCTGGGATTGTTTTGACAGAGACAAGCCGTTGGGAAGGATCAGGTCCTGTTCTCTCCCTCTCTTGTTTATCCTCCTCTCCCCAGTCTCATCACTTCTCTCCTTCCTGTTGGTGAATCTTGAAGTCAGCAGGCAAAGGAGAATTGTAGTTCACAGAGTTCTCACCTCAGCATCACACAACAGCGTAGAGAAAGGTAGGTTTGGAGCTCAGGAAAATAGAGCTTAATAACTAGCATAGTTGGAGCAGAATGGGTGATCCCTAAAATAACTTCAGACGTGTGCAAGAGTTCAGTATATGAGAAATTAGTATCTCAAATCTAGAGGAGAGAGTAAATCAGGCAGCAAGTAGCTCTAAGATGATTTTTTATTTTGGAGGGTAGGGAAAAGGATTGTATGCAGAATTAACTTCAGGATGGATTAAAGTTTACTGTCAAGAATTAGACTGGGAAGGGGAGGGTATAGCTCAAGTGGTAGAGCATGTGCTTATTAGCATGCACGAGGTCCTAGGTTCAATCCCCAGTACCTCCATTAAATAAATAATAACTAAATAAACAAACCTAATTACTTCTCCCTTCAAAAAAAAAATGGAGCAGAGTTCAGCAAATGGTGAAGAAAAGAATTAAACTGGGAAAATGACTAGAAGCAGATATAAGCTGAACATTTATTTGGTTTAACAATGAGGATGATTTTAAAGCGTGAAAGCAAGGATAGACCTCAACAAGGAAAAAGATGAGTGTAATGCTCCACAATTATGTATGTAAGAAGAGAAAAAACTATGGCAGGTAGCAAATTGTGGGAAATAATTGTAAAATACTTAAGAAAGAAGAGATTAATATCCCTAATACACACAGAGCTCTTCCAATCAGTGAGAAAAAGAAGTCTCAGTAGAAAAACAGCAAAGACAAAGAATATGAGCATATAAAGAAAAAAAATCCAAATGGCCAATAACATAATTAACAACTTTGATGAGGATTTTGGGGAAAATCCACTCGTGATAATGGAATTGTGAATTGGCATAGTCTTTCTAAGAGGATTTTATCAGTATGTATTAAAAACCTTAAAAATACTCCCTTATTTGAAAAGATACGTCTTTGGAGACAGTAGATAAGAAAGCAAGGATGGTGATAGATGGAGATGCGCTAAACTGATAAGAGCTTGTGTCTCACTGCTGTGCAGTGAGAGGCAAGCAGAAGGTTATCGTGGGGTGAGACTCGGACTGTTGCAGTGGATACTTAGGCAGTCAGCTAGCTTTGCATAAAGCAGTCCACAATAATACCCTGCCTAGAGTTGGAAATAGCATAAATATATAAGCAGACGTGTGTGGTTTCATGACTTTCTCCAGTAACACTAAATAGATCAGAGGTTGGAGTGGAGAAAGCTATTTAAGTGGGTACATAGGGAAATCTGTGGAAGATTGGATTCGGGGGGATACAGACTCGTTCTAGAAGCACGGAGACTGAGGTACCGTAGAATCAGTATGTTTGACTAGAACCTAAAATGTATACTTTCTTTTTCTGGCGCTGTTGGCAGTAGGAATTACTAAGAAAAGTATCAGCTCTGAGAATGACTATACTTAATTCCAGGTCCCAGCTCTGATGGATTGTGGCTTCTGACAATCAGAGGACCAGTCTCCTTTGATTAGGCCTTGGCTTGCACTGCTGTGTCAGTAATCCCAGAATAATCATATCTGTAACCTTTTTACATGTAAGTCTGCTAGCTCAACCAGAAACTTGATTGAAGGAAGGAACAGTTTTTCATTACTTTCCATTCTAGGTTATGATTTTAAATTCCTGCTAATTGTATCTATCTTGGGAGTTTTCTGTTCTAATAGGGCAGATAGTAAGTAAATTTATAATTCTCTTTATAGGAGAACCTCCATTCTTACCGGAATCTTTTGACCGAATTCTCCTTGACGCTCCCTGCAGTGGAATGGGACAGCGACCAAACATGGCTTGTACTTGGACTTTGAAGGAAGTGACATCATATCAGCCATTGCAGCGAAAACTCTTTACTGTGGTATGTGAGGATACTTTTCTCTGCAAGAAAGTAGACCTTCAGTAGTTTGATGTCTTAAAGACTGAGAGCAGTGTTCTTAGCAGCATTATTCACCATCACCAAAATGTGGGGAAAAACCCAGGTATCCATTGAATGGATAAGCAAAATGTGTATACGTACCACGGAATATTACGCAGCCTTAAAAAGGAATGAAATTCTGATACATGCTACATGGATGAACTTTGAAAACATCATGCTAAGTGATATAAGCCAGACAGAAAAGGACCAAATATTGTATGATTCTGTTTATAGAAGGTAACTAGAACAGGCAAATTCATAGAGACAAAGTACAATAGAGGTTGCCAGAGGCTGGAGGGACCAGAGAACAGGGAGTTTGTGTTTAATGGGTACAGAGTTTCAGTTTGGGTTGATGAAAAAACTCAAGAGATGGATAATGGTGATGGCTGTACAAGTGGTTGTGTGGGTGTACTTAATGGCACCAAACTGTATACTTAAAAATGGTTAAAATGGTAAATTTTGTGTATACTTTACCACACACACAAAAATCTAGAGACCCCATTTTCCTTTTTGTTGACTCACTCGTTCATCAGAGGCAATAGTGGAATTTCTTCTCTGAGACATTTAATGAATTTCAAACATTCTGCTTGATGTTAAAAATAGAGGGTTATTAACATATAGTTACCAACTGATGTAAAAAATTGGATGTGAAATAAAATTTGTATAGGGTTCCTGGATCATATTAGTGAATTAGAAGTGGGGAATCCAGTAGAGGCAGACACATTTCATAAAACTGGGACATGACAGCATCTGGTGTAGGACGTAGAAGAACCGTAAAAACGTAGCAAATCTGACTGATCTCCAGGGTGTCTCAGAAGAAGCCCAGATAGAACATTTGAGAATTTCTTTCTATTTTGCAAAAATGATTTTGTGGATTTCACAGGATGTAGACAGTGTTTGACCAAAGGAGACCTCATCATTTCCTCTTAGCTCTAATTATAAATGCGAAGGTATATCAGTAATGGATACAGTATGATTGTCCCATCTCTAAAGCTGTCTTTGAGGACATTTCTATTCAGGCCTCCTGGTGTCTGCTTTCCTGCACAAACATGGCACTGGTGGTGGATTGTTTAACTTCTTCTTCTATACAGTCTTCAAAGTCTACATCCTAGAAATTTAAACAGCAAGCAGCAAAAAAGCAGCCGAAACCCACTTTGACCCAAGGGTAAAATTAGGACACTGCTTTAAGAGACTTGTTTTTTTTTGTTCTTTTTAGCTCATTGCAAAAAGAAGTTTTAAAAGGCTACAAAGGAGGAGATGCGTTGATCTCAAGGGAAAGGAACAGCTGACCGTGTGCAAGAGAGAATTTAGAATAGAGCACGTATGTTGTTGGGCAAGGATAGAAATTAACTGAGAATGTGGACACATCTTGATTTGAGCCATGGCTCCTCCACATAAGTTAATTTAGGTACATTGGTTTCCTTATTTGAGAAGTGGGGATAATGACCCCACCTGATAGAGTTACCTCATTGGAGACAGTTACTGTACCTCACTCATAGTTACAAGGATTTACTATGTAAGGTGCTTGAAACAGTGGCTGGCACACGGTAGCAAAATTTAATTTTGATCAGTGTATTCTGGTGAAGAAAGTATACTGTACGCTTAAATTTTTTTTTGTAAAATTTAAAGAAATTTGTGAATTTGAAAAGAGAAACTTTAGTTATTTTGGAACAAGTTCATTTTCACATTACATCTATTTCCTGAACAAGTACTCATGGGGCACTTCCTGTATGTAATACGTGATTCTAGGTGCTCACAATACAGTGGTCAGTCCCTGCCCTAATACATGGCGTTCCGATTCTCACTGAGGGGGAAAATGAACAAATAGGTGATTAAGTTACTGAGCATATTACATGGCAGTCAGTCTGTGGAGCAAACTGAAGAAAGAGCATGCCTGATCAGATTAGTTGAAAATTTACATTGAGTGGTCAGGGAGGTCCCCGCTGAGAAGCCGAAATACAAGTAAAGATAAGAGGATTGTGAGGGAGCAAGCAGTGCAGGGAATGAGAGAGCTCTCCAAGCCGGGGCAGACACCCTGAGGCAGGGCGGGCGGTGCCCAAACAGAGAGAGCTGGGTGCACATGAAGTAAAGGTAGCTAGAGGCTTGCTTTATGCAGGACCTTGAAGGCCCCTCTGAGGACGTGGACTTTGCCTTCCAGTGATGATGGAGAACGTTTGAAGGGTTTTGAGCTGAGAAACAACAGTTCTAAAACCACTGCTCTTGCTCCTGAATGAATGGCAGGAGGGCAGGGAACAGACAAGGTAAATGAAGAGGGAAACTCTTGGAATAATCCAGGTGAAAGATAATGAAGCTTACAGCAGAATGATAGCAGTGGAAGTGGTGAGAAGTGGTCAAATTCTGGATGTATTTTGAAGGTAGAGCCAGTAGAATTTGCTTGATGGATGGAAAACGTGAGAGCAAGAGGCATAAAGGGTAATCTGAGGTTGTGGGCGGAGCCCCTGGGAGGACGGGAATCCTCCAGTAGGTTTCAGAGGAAGACAGCACTTCAGGGAGGGACACATCACATCCGATGGTAAAACTACTAAGGCAGCTGACTATATTCGCACGGAATTCAGAAAGGAGTCTGGCCTAGAAATGTCAATTTGTGAGTTTTCTGAATAAAAATGATATCTGAAGCCTTGCAGCTGAATGAGCATATTTGGGAAAGTCCTGGTCCACGTGGACTAAAACAGCTCCAAGATAATGAAGTGCATCTAGTCTGGAGCATTCTAATTAGAGAAAGAATCCTGGTTCTACAGGACATCATTTATTTATCCCAAATGCTTGAAAAAAGATATCATAAATATATTTTTTAAAATCCCCTAAAGTGTGGACTTGCTCTTGTGATACACAATCTGGTCACATTTTTCTCTAGGCAGTTCAGCTGCTGAAGCCAGGGGGCGTGCTGGTTTATAGCACGTGCACCATCACACTGGCGGAAAATGAAGAACAAGTAGCCTGGGCCCTCAGGACATTCCCTTGCCTTCAGCTTCAGCACCAGGTAAGAGCCATTGCAGCTGCCTCTGTGTAATCTGATAAATCGCAGAAACTTCAGTGCAGTGATAGTCAACAGTGTTATATGAAAAAGTATGCCAAGTAAAACTTCTGAAACAGATACTGCAGTTCACAAGAATGTTTCCCTAATGAGATCCCTTCTAGACTGCCCACAGGATTTTCAACGTCCTGATAAAGTTTCCCCATGTCTTCATTCTTTGCCACAGTGTTTAAGTGCCACAGGGCTCAGGTGTATGTGTATTAATCCTTTATTTTACTTGTGGCTCTTGTTCATGTTACTCAGAATTTTGTTTCCAAAAAAATTCTGCCCCGCCCCCCACTGCTGCCCCCATCCCATATTTTTCTGATGGGAAAAATGTTGAACATTTTTTCTCATGTCACATCAAAGCCCAAACAGGCTTTAGTTTAGTAACTGGGATGTCAGAAGTCTAGCCAAGGGGGGAAAAATGGTTCAAGATAATTGCTTCCTTATGGTTTCTTATATAAAATATGGAACATTTAAAAAGTTTTCTTGACTGTACTTTATTTTACCTAGCACTGTCTTTCTGTTACAGTTTTTATTAAAACCGTATTTATGACAATATTTTTAGTCCCATGATGTTTGAGATTAGGTTTAAATCTGTAGTAATGCTTACGTTCATTCAGGTAGATTGAACATGTAAAGTCTGTTTTTTCTGTACAGAATTCTAGTAAGTAACTGGAAAACATAAACAAAAAGCTATCAAGTGATGGGTTCTCGACTCAGAAATAAGATGGTTACATTGTGGGTGAAAGGAAGGCTTTTGAGAATTCACTTGAGTTTTATGTGTATGTGTATACATACATACTCAATCTGCATAAAAGAGATGGAACTTCCCCCCATGGGTTAATAAATGATAGATTTTTAGACATAAACCTGGGAAAATGCACCTTCAGTAACACAAACGTTTGTCTGTGAAATGGGGACTTAAGTTAGGATTATGCATCTTTTGCAGCAGTGGTTTGCAAGTATCACTCAATTCCTTATGACTGATTCTGTATTCCTATTCCTCTGATCGAAACTCCTGTCAGTTCTGGGGAGTCTGACAAATAAGGCTGAATTTTCATTTGCTGCTGTTCTTAATAATAATGTTCCACTTCCTGAGTGCCCACTGTATGCCTCCTTATTTATTTAAGCCTCAGAACTGAATGTGTTATCTGTTTTATAGATGAGGAAACAGAGTTAGGTAAAGTTACTTGTAGAAGGTCACACAGCTTCAGTGTGGCCGAGCCATGATTTGAATCTGCTTTTCCAAGTGTGAAGCCCAGGCCTTTTGCACATCAAGGTACTTGATGAGCGTCTGGGCCATACTAGGTTCCCCTTCATCAGGTGACCGTGTGCAGCTGCTCTCCCAGAAAAACAGTATGTATGTTTCACAGAGATAAACGGTATCTACTCATTTTCCTGTTTTTTTGCAGCTGGTAATTGTAATTAACACTTACAGCTGTTTGTCTTTTAACTTAAGTCATATGCAGGCACACTTACTGATAATGCAAGGATGTTTGTCCATGTTCCTTTGTCTTCTCCGAGCAGGAACCCCACGTTGGAGGAGAAGGAATGATGGGAGCTGGCCTGTCGCTGGAACAGTTGAAACAGCTGCAGCGATTCGATCCATCTGTTGTGCAATCACAGAACACCGACATGGATTCTCTCAGAGACGCCAGAATAGAAGACATGGTTTGGCTGGCAAATAAGGATTGTATAGGTTTTTTTATTGCAAAATTCATAAAATGCAAAAGCACACAGGAGAAGGATCCTTAGAAATGAAAATTCCAAATGTTTGCTGTGTGTGGTGTCTTTTTTTTTTTTTTTAAAAAAATCAGACTGTTGTCAGGCCAAGTGATTGATGCCATGGTTGCTGAGGAAACAGAAAAGACTGCCAGCTGTTTCTCCAGGAATCGAGAGACTTATGAGACTCTGCTTCATAGAGGAAGTAATGGGAGGTGGTTTGAGATAATATTTTGTTTTTAAAATAATTTTTTCTTACGGATTTAGCAGAGTTAAAGAAAAGGATATGCCTATAGATGTCTGGAACATATTTCCACTTGGGGTCTTTGTTTTAATTTGTAAAGAATGCAGGTCATTTTTAATATTAAAATCAGTGGATTTAACAAAAGGAATAAAATGAACAATATTTAATTTGGTTATAAAGCATGTTTTCCGTTACTAAATTCTGAAGTAGGAGTTCCCTAAGAATTCAGGGTATGGGAGCTATAACGCACTTATCATGTGCCAGTAACTGAGCTGGGTATTTTGTTTTTTTCTTTTTGAAAAGTTAGAATATATTTTTCAGGGTGAGGTGAAAAAATCCAACGACATGAAATTCTTCAAGGGATAAGGAATAACGTTGCCTACCAACAGTTTGAATTCATCATGCCTGAAGATGGAACTGGGTCTCCTGGGAAAAGGGACAAGTCTTGCAAGATTGAGAAGGCTCTTGTCAGAGGACATGTGTTTCTTTAGCTGAGAGTGTCTGGATTCATGCTCTCTGCGAAGAATTTCCATCCTTACAGAATGAAGGAGTTACTCTGAGAAGTGCATGACACAAACTGGCGATGGAGACATTCATCCCTTTCCAGTGAGAGCCGATTGGGTTTCCAATAAGGAGAAATACTTTCAGAAGTGGAGTGGTCTGTATCCCTCAAGAGAATGGCAAATCCCGTGAGATTTGGTTTCAGTTGCAGACAATTTGTGCTGATCACCTTGGAGTTGTTGGGTTACTGCTTGCCAAAACAGCGGTCTTAGTCTGTAGACGAACGGTTCAAATCCCATGAGATTTTCAAGAGCTCGTGCATGAGTATGGCTCTGGACCATGGCTTCAGGAGGGGGCGCAACCCGGCTGCCTACCAGCACTGGGAGCAGAACAGACCAGGGGCGTGGCCAGAATGCCTCTGGAACCAGCCAGCAGAGTTCACGCAGTGGGGTTGAGGGCAGGAGCTGACCAATCCAGGATGTCAGTTGCTTCTTGGGTTCCAGGTGGAACGTTGGTGTGTTTCCCAGGTCTTGTAGCTGGTGGATCCACGGTAACTGGGCAGAGCCCTGCGGTGGATCAGTGCCATGGAGGGGCTGCCACCCTCTGCGGAGCCTGGCTTAGGGCTCTTCTTTGGGAAGTTGAGTGAGGTCGTGGTGTTGCTGCTGCCCAAAGGCCTGAGCTCATGGGTCACTTTCCAGAACTCAGAAGGGCAGACAGTGGCATGTCTGCCTGTCATCACCTTATTGGTGGGTGTCTTATGGCCTTTTAGGCTTGTTCAGTCTTGTAGAAGTTGACTTTATGGAAGAACTGAGCTGGGTATTTTACCTGACTTTTTCTGCTATTTGGTAAGTCAACCCTCTTTGAAACGAATTCTGTACCGCTCCTAAATGGGAGTCTCCCTTCACTCTGTTTACTTTCCTTTTTTCCATATTTTAAACTGGCAATTAACAAATATTTGTTTCACTCTGTAGATTAAAAATATGGGAGTATTGCACAGTTTGGGTACATTTTATCATCTGTTGGAACACATACAAGTTATTAGAGATGTGATTGATGATTAAGAGAAAGCCATCTTCTGATGCTGGAACGGGCCGGGCACTTACAGGTAAGCCTCGGTGTTCTCCCACTGAACCACTGAACATAACAACTTCACAGAACATCAGCTCAGACAGAGCAACTGTGATTATGAAAGATTAAGACCAAAAAAAAAAAAAAAAAAAAGACCACTTGATTGTCATGTCTGAAGTCAGACAAAAACAAGAACATCATTGAAACTGCATAAGTGACCAAATGTCTCCCATAGTGGCCAGTATAAAGTGACTGCTTTTTAAAAAATTAATTGTAACTGTCTGCTTGCTTCATTCTTCCTGCTTTTTAGATAAGGTATGTTAAAATACCCAACACCCAGCTATAGTTTAAAAGCTGTCTCTTCTCGTGTAGTGTTAAATACACTTGTTTTGTTAATTTAAATCATCCCCAAATTCCTGCCCTTTGGGCATATAAAGTGGATAATTGGAAATAATTGCCTAATAATTGTCTTTTTTCCTTATAGGTTTCCATTAGGAATGTCTCGTAACTCACTGTTGTCTCCATCAAGAATGCAAGGTCTCCTGGAGCAGGTGAGATTTTCAGAAGGCCTCTGCTTGAGGGAATCTTTCTTGAACACCCTTCTCTGAAGCTGAGTTAGGCATCTCACTGCACCCCTGGTGCCCGTTATCTCCTGCTACCATGGCACTTAACACACACATCATTGATTTACTAGGCACACCCCAGACCCCCACCCCCAGGCTAGGCAGTACCCTGGAGGCAGGACTCCTGTGCTATTTGTGACATCTTCAGAATCATCATTACATCCTTACTGAACGAGGGAAAATCATTTCAGGCTCCATAAAATTCAAATATGTGCCAGACTTCTTTCCATCCGTCCTTCTGCCTCTCTCCAGTAGATGTCATTTGTGTAAAGGGAAACACTGTTCACCTG